CAGAATAATCTTATTGTGTGTAAACTTGACTTTCAAGAAGAGTATAACAATTTCTCCAAACATATCTCTCTCATTTTTCTGCAGAACAGAAAGAAATGTGATCATCCTAACTTACCTAAAAGAGAAAAAGTTTAGTCACATTAACATCTGACTTTTTTTAAATGGTTATGTGCCTTTTATAAACTTCTGCTTTTTAACTGTTTGTGGTTCATTCCCCTGTGGTGACCTCTGATAAATAAGGGACTATGCTGAAGGTAAATGAATGAATTATACCCTTTACTTTAGTCAAAACTGAGTGTTGTCCTCCAATTAAACATTGCTGAAATACTGCACACCGGTGAGGAAAAAACCTAGATATTCAGTGAGTTTGTGGTCAAGATGATGATGTTTCTTCTTCATGCAAAATAGATATAAAGATTAAAATTTATTTTAACTGATTTATTTTAGAAAGTTAGCGATGGCTTTCATCGTAGGAGAACTAATAGTATAGAAGTCAATGGTTATGGGTAGGCCCACACGAAACCTGCGCATGCAGAATTCCACAGATTTTCTGCAGATTTGTTTATTTACTTGAGTAAATGTGTGTAAATCTATATTTATTCCGTTTTTAAATTAATCACAGTAATAGCATTGACTAATAAGAAAATGTTGATCTGATTTATGTATAATGCAGCTTGTACAGTAATATTTTCTGTCTTTTAGTAGAGATATTATATGAGACTTGCTTTGTTTACCACATAAACTGAATCTAATTGGATTTGCATTTTAAACATTAAATTAAAGTTAAAAAGATTTTATTTTTTATTTCACATATTAAGGTTTTAGTTGCCTAGTAGCAAAGAATTCTGGCCCAGATTTGGCATAAAGCTGGCACAGAAGGCATTCATCCGGCACTGGCATACAGCATTTTGGCCAAACATGGCCCGTGTCTGGCAGAAGTGGCACCGTCTTTAAGGCGGCACAAAAGATTTGGGCCAGATGGAAAAACGTAGTATTTGGCCCAGATTTAAAAATTTGAAAGTGGGCCATGTGAGTTTGGCCAGTCTTGACCCACATTTAAAATACACTAAAATCATTTTTGAGTAAAGAAAAAAAATTCTACCAATCAGGTCACTTTGAGAAAAAGCGTGCCCATAGTGTGCCTAAAGCGCATCACTCCATGGGTTTATCAATTTCATTGCCATCGTGACACACCAACCTATCTGGCCCAGTTCAGGCCCAGTTATGAGTTATTAACTTGGCTGAGACTTGGCCCAGATATGGTCTGTGTTTGGCCCTTGTCTGGTAGCCAGATTTGGTCCAGTCATGTACCGTAATTCACTGCGGCATGTGGGCCAAGCAAAACCTGATTGTGTGGGCCAGAGCTGGGCCAGAGAAATTTTACTCTGTGGGTTATGATACTTCCAAAATAATTAAGCAGAAATCCACAGATTTTTACCAAAAATCTACGCAGAAATAGCAAAAAAATCTGCTGATTCCGTCTGGCCCTGCTTATCGATTTCCTGCCTTTTAAAAAGCAGGTTTTTGACTAGGGAAAGGTGAGTAAATTATGTTTAAGTTTTGGGTGAACTATATCCCTTTAATATCTGTTAACTTCTAATCCTGAAAGTCTCCCGATTGACATTGTATTAAGTCAATTTGAACCCAAACTCTACCAGTCTGCTGTTACTGCACAGGCTGATGAGAGTTGGTAGATATGTCACTGTAAAAAATGGCCGTGATTTCAACAGTAAAAAACTGTAAAAATGCTACAGTACAAATCCGTAACCTGGTTATCGGTATGTTTCCTTAATAAATACGGCGAATAACCGTAAATTGACACATCACTTTTTATGCATTTGGTTGACATTAATATGGATATTTTTAGTTGTTTCCCCATCAGTTGTGTACATTAGAGATTTATGTTACATCTAATGTTGATAAACAATGTTTATTTCATGACTTTAATTTTATACGTGTTACAACACTGGTGTTTAGTAGCTGTGTGAATGACACTGAGCACCTTTTGTATGCTGATACTCTTTTCTGCTTGTGGGAGAAGTTGATTGTGATGAGCATTGGCTCATTTTGTAACTTGATCACCACCTTCTTCATGTGGGTGAAACAAAAGACGTGTAGATGTTGATCATTCAAAATACAGACAAATTACCTCTATAAATTAATAAAATACGGTAGTTTACTGTAAAAATGAAAAATTACTTTTACAGTTTGTACCGTGTTTTTAACGGTAAAGTACTGGCAACCAAAGCTGCCGTTTTTTTACCGTAAATTTTACGGATTTATTTTTTACAGTGTGCATAGATGATAATAGTCAGCAGAATGTGTTAAAGGGACCATCAAATTAAAGTAAACCCAACAATAACCGCAATTATTCTAAAAAATTGCATCGTATAAATATATTGGGGCATGGTTTTGTATGTTCTAAATGCAGTAACTTTCAGCCTTCAGTATATGCAAGCACATTCCCTACATTAGATTGTTTCTTTGTGGCATAAAGTGTTATTTCACCCTTAAATGAACATGATCAGTAATCATAGGTGACCCCGAGCTACAAACCTTGCGTTACATGTTTAAATTCCTGCCAAAAATACGTTGTCAGTGTTTATTTTATGCAAAAAAAAAAATCATTACAATATTAAGTAAAGATCTTCCATGAAGACATTTTGTACATTTCCTACTGTAAATATAGCAAAACTCAATTTTAGATTAGTAATATGCATTGCTAAAAGCTTGATTTGACTAACTCTAAAGGGGATTTTCTCATTATTTAGATCCTAATTTCGAACCTTCAGATTAATATATCGTATATCAGCCAAATATTGTCCTATTAATAAACCATACATCATCGTAAAGACTAAATATGCAGCTTTCAGGTGATGCAAACTTCTCAATTTCAAACCACTGACACTGGTTTAAGGCTTCAGTGTATTTAAAGTGAATAAAAGACAAACGTACAATAAATCTGTTAGCCTAATCATATAAAGCAATCATGGCTCTTCAGAAGAAGCATTAGTGTTATATACAGAACTTCAACTCTAAAAACTGGACCGACACAGTTTCAATTTACTAGAACTTCTATGTTAAGCTGCTTTGACACAATCTACATTGTAAAAGCGCTCGAGAAATGAAGATCAACTGAACTTGAATCATACACTCTAAAAAATATGGGGTTATTTTTTCTATTTGAGGCTTTTGGGTAATTTTAGGGGGTTATTTTCAGAGTCTTGGGTAGTTTCAACCCAGCTCTTTGGGTCAAATCAACTCACAGCAGGGCCTGACTGGTATACCACGTATTATGTACTTATTAGTTTGAAATGAAAATAATGAAAATCACAATGAAAATAGTGCAACATAAACGCAGAGTCTGTGCGTGTTCAGATGATTAAAATGAGATTTATGCTCTTAGTCAGACCTTTCTGAATTAAAAAATGTCTTACTAATCAAAGCTGCACATCCCCCACCGTACTTCAGTGATGCCGAGTCAAAACAACACAACTGCTGGGTCATCTCTCGCAGGCATTTTTGGATCAAATTAAACTATTATTTAGGTAAAAAATGACCAATTATTGGGTGGAAAAACAAACCATTTATGGGGTTAAAAATAATAACCCAATTACTTGGGTTAATTTAACCCCTGATGTGTTCTGTGCCATATTTACCCAGCAGTGGGGTTAAAAACAACCCAATTTGAGTAGTTTTTAACCCTGTGTTTTTTAGAGTGTATTTATTTTCTCTTGCATTAATATTCTCATTATAGCTTTGAACTCAATTCTTACAGGAAGGACACGGCTAAGTACAAATTTGGGGGTGAATAACACTTTCATTAATGGATTAGTGCTGTTTTGTTTGTTACTTTAATGTAGGATTTTGAACACTTTTATAGCCAGCATGACGACCAAACTGATCCTGTTTGCTATTCCTATTGTGAAAAACTGAAAGACGAATGCAGTTCCATCAAAATATAAGAACCTGGTCTACCTCTCAGACGACTTTCCTTTGTATCTGATGTCTTGTACACATTGTGGGTTAATTCATGTGAAACAAACTCTAAATAAAGCTAAATAAGCATCGTTTGGTGCCAAAACCGTTCCTGGACGAACCACAACAGAGGTTTTCCACATTATCTGACCAATCCATTTTAGATATTGGAGTCCCTAAAAAGGTGACGTGGTGGCCAGTGGGTAGCGCTCTCGCCTCACAGCAAGAAGGTCGCTGGTTTGAGCCTCAGCTGGGTCAGTTGCGTTTCTGTGTGGAGTTTGCAAGTCCAAAGACATGCGGTACCGGTGAATTGGGTAAGTTAAAATTGTCCGTAAGGTATGTGTGTGAATGACAATGTATGGGTGTTTACCAGTGATGGGTTGCAGCTGGAATGGCATCCGCTGCTAAAACATATGCTGGATAAGTTCGCGGTTCATTCCGCTGTGGCGACCACAGGTTAATAAAGGGACTAAGCCGAAAAGAAAATGAATGAAATTTTAGAGCAAGAAGGTCGCTGGTTGGAGTCCCAACTGGGTCAGTTCTTAAACATTTAAAACTATATATATATAAGTATATATTTGTTAAAAGGCATAGTTCACAAAAAAAAGAAAATGTACTCACTATTTACTCTCCCTCATGTGGTTTTAAACCTGTATGAGTTTTTATATCTGTTGAACAGTAAAGATATTTTAAGCCAGGCTGAAAACCTTGACTTCCATATTTTTTTCCCCTCCTTTGGAAGTCAATGGTGACGGGTTTTCAGCTTTCTTCAAAATATCTTTCATGTTCAACAGAATAAACAAAGGCAAACTGGATTGCGACGAGTAAGAGGTGAGTAAATAATGACCAAATATTCACTTTTAGGTGAACTGTCCCTTAAATAGGATTTATAGGTTTGGATCTTTTTAGTTTGTTTTTTCCTATTCTGTCCAGTCCAGCAGGTGGCGGCAGTGCAACAATCGCTTGTTTAAAAACGACCATAAAACTCTTTAAGAAGAAGAAGAAGTCATTTAACAGTGGCTAAAGTTAGCACTATAATCATTAAAATTGGATGTTAAAATCTCCCATTGGATTTGTCCCTCACAGCGGACTGCAGACTTCTGGTATGAAATGTTTTTCTTAGCAGTTTGAAAAGAAAATATAGAGCTAATTAAGGTACTTTCAACAGCTTTTGAGGATCCCTATAGTCAAGTTCTTATTTCCAAACCGCTTTTTTATGACTGGATTACACATGTTTGTGTATGTATGAGCATGACTTCAATCTGTGACTTGATTATGTCTCTGTTTTAGTAGTTTGTTAGGGTATAATAATTGAATCTGGTTGTTAAAAACACCCCTGTTGATTAGTTCATCACAACTGACTGCAAAATGTCATTATGGCATCTCATTCCTCAGCAGTTTAACAACAAAATATGAAGTTTTAACACTTTTGAGTCGCCCAATAGTCAAGTTTTCATGCCCAAACAGCCTTTGTATTACTGGATCACATATGAATGAATCACGTGATGACATGTAGACCTCAATTTGTGCTTTGTTAGGGCATAATAATTGAAACTGGTTCTTAAAAACTCTCTTGGTTTCACTGTGGATGAGTTTCTCACAATTAACTGCAAACTATACTCCATTTTAGTCTAAAATTGTAATTTTTTTAATTCATCAGCAGTTTAACAACAAAATATGAAGTTATTTGAAGCACTATTTTACCTCTTGATTGAGTTGCTCAATACTGAATGTCTCATTTCCCAACAGCTTTGTTTATTGCTGGATCACACACATGAATGCATTGGTCAAATAATGTTATGTAGGCTTAAAATAGTGACTTAATCATGTCCATTGCGACACTTTGTACATTTTGGTGTAAAATGATATACACTTTTCTAATTTTTCAATGGTTTAACAACAAAATATGAAGCTAATTTAAGTTTTTTTATTACTAGATTACACATATGAATGCATTGGTCAAATAATGATACGTAGGCTTCAATTTGTGACTTAATTTTGTCTATTGTGATGCTTGATTAGGGCTGGGGTTCCCAAACTTTTCAGGCCGCGACCCCCAAAATGACAATGCCAGTGACTCGCGACCCCCAATATCCTCTGAGGTGGTTATAAATACAGAAACCTTGCATGCAATGGCACACACACACACACACACACACACACACACACACACACACACACCAATGGACCTATGTCTATTCTTCTTTTAATTTTTTTTTTTTATGTATGAGAGCTGTAAAGGGGCCACAAAGTTTAACCAGGTGTTATGGAATCTGCTGCATCTGACGCTATTGCTGTGTCTTTAATACAATACAATGCAATTACCCCAGGGGTTGCAATCCAATAGAAGTAGTAACTATAAGCTACTATAGTAACTTTATATGGTATGTATGACTATTTTTTTCTCTTCAGAAGGTTATGGATAAAATATGGCAATTCCTATGGTTTAATAAAAATAAATAGATTTTTGGAAACCACCAGGCGACCCCCCCCTTCATTGTCCCCTGACCCCTTGGGGGGTCCCGACCCCTACTTTGAGAACCATTGGATTAGGGTATAATAAGTGAAACTGGGTGTTAAAAACTCTCTTGGTTTCCCTTTGGATTACTCCCTCACAATTGACTAAACAATACTCCATTTTGGTGTAAATTTAAATGTTTTTTTCTCATTCCTCAGCAGTTTTACCACAGAACATGGAGTTAAATGAGGCACTTTAACAGTTTTCGAGGAGCTCAATAGTCAAGTTCTCATTTCCAAACAGCTTTTTATGACTGGATTACACACGCATGTCTATGACTTCAATCTGTGACTTGATTATGTCTCTGTTTTAGTAGTTTGTTAGGGTATAATAATTGAAACTGGTTGTTAAAAACACCCCTGTTGATTAGTTCATCACAACTGACTGCAAAATGTCATTATGGCATCTCATTCCTCAGCAGTTTAATAACAAAATATGAAGTTTTAACACTTTTGAGTCGCCCAATTGTCAAGTTTTCATGCCCAAACAGCCTTTGTAATACTGGATCACATATGAATGAATCACGTGATGACATGTAGACTTCAATTTGTGCTTTGTTTGGGCAAAATAATTGAAACTGGTTCTTAAAAACTCCCTTGGTTTCACTGTGGATGAGTTTCTCACAATTAACTGCAAACTATACTTCATTTTGCTCTAAACTTGTAATTTTTCTAATTCCTCAGCAGTTTAACAACAAAATATGAAGTTATTTGAAGCACTATTTTAACTCTTGATTGAGTTGCTCAATACTGAATGTCTCATTTCCAAACAGCTTTGTTTATTGCTGGATCACACACATGAATGCATTGGTCAAATAATGTTATGTAGGCTTAAAATAGTGACTTAATCATGTCCATTGCGACACTTTGTACATTTTGGTGTAAAATGATATATACTTTTCTGATTCCTCAATGGTTTAACAACCAAATATGAAGCTAATTTAAGTTTTTTTTATTACTAGATTACACATATGAATGCATTGGTCAAATAATGATATGTAGGCTTCAATTTGTGACTTAATTTTGTCTATTGTGATGCTTGATTAGAGTATAATAAGTGAAACTGGATGTTAAAAACTCTATTGGTTTCCCTTTGGATTACTCCCTCACAATTGACTGAACTATAATCCATTTTGGTGTAAAATTAAATGTTTTTTTTCTCATTCCTCAGCAGTTTTACCACAGAATATGGAGTTAAATGAGGCACTTTAACACTTTTCGAGGAGCTCAATAGTCAAGTTGTCATTTCCAAACAGCTTTTTATTACTGGATTACACACATATGTGTATGACTTCAATTTGTGACTTGATTATGTCTCTGTTTTAGTAGTTTGTTAGGGTATAATAATGGAAACTGGTTGTTAAAAACATTCCTGTTGATTAGTTCATCACAACTGACTGCAAAATGTCATTATGGCATCTCATTCCTCAGCAGTTTAATAACAAAATATAAAGTTTTAACACTTTCGAGGTGCCCAATAGTCAAGTTTTCATTCCCAAACAGCTTTTGTATTACTGGTTCACACATATGAATGCACTGGTCAAATGATGACATGTAGACTTCAATGTGTGACCTAATTATGTCCACTTTAATGCTTTGTTAGGGTATAATAATTTAACTGGATGTTAAAAACTCCACGTGTTTCACTGTGGATTAGTCCTTCACAATTGACTGCAAACTTCTAGCTTCATTTTCCTGTGATATTATTAATTTTTCTCATTCCTCAGCAGTTTTACAACAGATTAAGGCAAATCATTAGGTTACTGATAACTATTTATTCACAACCCTAGAAAGAAAGGAGTTCAGCGTTTTAATGACAGCCATTTCACAGGTTTACATTTACATTTAGTCATTTAGCAGATGCTTTTATCCAAAGCGACTTACAAATGAGGACAAGGAAGCAATTTACACAACTATAAGAGCAACAATGAATAAGTGCTGTAGGCAAGTTTCAGGTGTGTAAAGTCTATGAAGGAAGGCATTAGTAATGTAAGTCTTTTTTTTTTTTTGTAGTACAGTTAGTGGTATATCCAGAGAGGCAATTGCAGATTAGGAAGTAAAGTGGAGACTAAATAGTTGAGATTTTAGTCGTTTCTTGAAGACAGCGAGTGACTCTGCTGTTCTGATGCCGTGAGGGAGTTCATTCCACCAACTGGGCAGATTGAGCGTGAGCGTGAGCGTTCGGGAAAGTGATTTCTTCCCTCTTTGGGATGGAACCACGAGGCAACGTTTATTCACAGAACGCAAGTTTCTGGAGGGCACATACATCTGCAGAAGTGAGAGCAGATAAGAAGGAGCAAAGCCAGAAGTCACTTTGTAAGCAAACATCAGAGCTTTGAATTTGATGCGAGCAGCAACTGGCAGCCAGTGCAAACCGGTGAGCAGCGGAGTGACATGTGCTCTTTTAGGTTCATTAGAGACCACTCGTGCTGCTGCATTAAAAGGTTAGTAGTAAGCTAACGTAATTTCATAATGCAGATCTTAAACTCATGCTAACCAACAAATGATAACGGGAAATATATTAATGCAATGCAAAGAGTGATGTTTACTTTAAACTTGATTTATATTGCTCTATTAAAATTATATTTTAAAAGATTTTGTCAAATAAAAGATTTTTCCAGAGTCGTCCACCATAATTTTGTGGCTCAAAAGTATCGGTTCAGGCCGGTACCGCTTTAAGGGCCTACTCACACTATGCTATCCGTACCCAGGGCCGGAGCAAGCTGAACTGCCGCTCTAGGTAGAGGACGATCACGCCGCCCTCAACCCCAATGTGAAAACGAAAGTGACCGGTTATGAAAATGAAGTGAGGTGTCGCGGACCTCTTTTCCGGCGCACTCTGATATAACTGGGGATGCGCAGTGCTGAGGGAGGGAGGGAGGTGTCGCGGACACAGCGCTCTCTATTCTGCCGCCCTATGCGTGGATATAACTGAGGACACGCAGGTGCTGATGGAGGTGTCGCTGACGCTGCCCTGTCTATTCTGTCGTCTATGCGCGAATATATCTGAGGACGTGTGGTGAGGGAGGTGTCGCGGACATAACTGAGGACGCGGGAGGTGTCGCGGACACCGCCCTCTCTATACTGCCGCCCTAAGCGGCTGCCTAGGTCGCCTCTAAAGATGCGCCAGCCCTGTCCGTACAATGCTAAGGCCCGTTTCCCGGATCATTTGAGAAGTGTGAGTGTGCTGAATCGGGCTCAGGCACGGTTCACTTGGCCGGCCCTGGCCCGGTTGGAAGAGGTGTGCGGTTCACTTGGGCTTTGGCGCGGTATGCTTGTGTGTGAGTGCAAAACGCGCCAAAGCCTGAAACTGAAAGCGAGACGTGACTTTTAAGGGACTGTTTCATATGGATTTATTAATTATTCTTACTGTTCAGTGAACGCAAACTGCCGTCGTTTATTAAAGACGCAAACCCCTCACTGCACGACAGCTGCACCTTCAGCAGACCACCTAATTCCTACAGCACGAAGGCTTTATGATTGTTTATGACCGTCAAAAGTGGCGGATCTGTTCGGGGAAATATCTGACTGAGTGTCGCCACATCCCTAAGGACTAAAGCGATATAACTAGAGAAATCTCCACTGT